TCCTGCCTCTTGGCTGAAGCCTAGGAGACTTGATTCGATTTAAAACCCCAAGTAATCAGCTCCACTGATTTTGTTAAAACCATCAACCTCTCAGGAATCCCATTGTCGATTCCTAGGACACGTCATTCAGTTATTCCATTGCCTAGGGCTAGTTTTAAGGTATAAATATAGTTTCAAACCCTAACCTCTGCACACATAGCCCAGCCTGCATACACACCCACACTATGTGTATGTTCTGTGTCACCCTCACACTTCCCAGTCTGAACCACTCCAACTTCCCACAGTCTTTTCTTTGGACAGGTAATTATAACCCCCCTGCAACCCCTAAAAACTCCACTATCCCCTTTCCATATTTCCATTTTGGTTAGCTCTGTATGCTATGTTTCTGTGCACTCTGCAATTGAACTCTGCATATTTTTCTAAATAAAAACCTCCAGAACCTGGAGTCCTCCCAGTTAGTACTGGTATATATTGTTGCCAAAGGTTACCCAAACCTCTCTCAAAGCTAACTTCCCCAGGATTTGAAGTATCACTGACAATTGGTGGGGACCCCCATTCTCCTCGCCTCTTTTGGGGGGCAACACTTTTCCTGATACTTTCCTTTGGATACTTAAACTATATTTCTGAATGCTCAACTGATGTTTTAAGTTACTGAAATGCTAGAAAGTTGGAGAGTGAAGGAAAAATATATTTGGCAAGGCAGAGCTGTTATAGGTGGGGCAATGACCCCCACCCATTTTGTTCTCTTTTTAGATACACCCTGGACAACAGAACAATTAGAAGTCTTTGAAAGATCTTTCTGAAAGCTGACAAAGAAAGGGTCATAGGATTCAACTAAGAAAGGGAATTCTGGAGTTCTGATGTCACCACAGAGAAGGCTCTGTCCCACTTGCCCATCAAAACGTGACATCAGAAGGTGTTTCACAACAAAGCAGTAATGCCTTCCCCAAAAGATCTCCAGGAGAATCATATGAGATCTGCTTTACCATCCCATATGGGATCAGCTGCTTTCTTTTCCTTTGCCCATGAACTTTGTTCCCATCAGGGGCAGAAGAAAGCATCAACAAAATTTGTTTCTGTGGGTTTTCTGGGGTTTTAAGCTGAGGTCGTATGGTAGTTATGGTAGTTATTCACTGAAAAAAACGCACACTGAATCATGCACCACAAAGGATGTTTATCTGTGACAGGGTTAGCAAGGCTTCAGTAGGCTTTGAATCAATCTCTGTTCCAGTAAAAGTTATGAAGTCGCTCTTAATCAGAATGCTACCCTCCTTTGCCCACATCTGTCACTCGGAAGCCTCCTGCCAAGAAAGTCTGCTTGATTCCCGGATTCACTTAGATCATAGCCTTTCTTTTTTGGGTCATGTCAAAGAATCCTTGTCTCTACCCCCAACTGTGCTAAGGAATTTGGTCCATTAAACTTCAAACAATGTCATGGAAATGGTTCCCAGAGCTTGGACAAGTTCATAAAAACATAGAATTGTAGACTTGGAAATGACCACAAGGATCATCTGGCAAAGAATAGGTTAAGAAGTGATATGATCGCCCTGCTTAAGTATTTGAATGGTTGTCATATTGAGGATGGAACAAGCTTGGATTCTGCTGCTCCAGAGAGCAGGACATGGAACAATGGGTGCAAACTAGAGGAAAAGAGATCCCACCTAAATATTAAGAGAAACTTCCTGATAGTAAGAGCTGTTTGACAGTGGAATGTACTCCCTTAGAGAGTAGTGGCATCTCCTTCTTTAAACAGATGCTGGATTACCATCTGTCAGAGGTGCTTTGATTGTGAGTTCCTGCATGGCAGGGGGGTTGGACTGGATGGTCCTTGTGGTCAATTCTATGATTCTACAATTCTGTGATTCTAACCCGCTGCCATGCAGGAATACACAGCTATAGCACTCCTGAGAGATGGTCATCCAACAGATGTAAAGTCCACCATATTCTGAATCAGTCTGTTCCACTGTGTTAGCCAAAGTGCATTTTTCTGAATTTTGGTGTGTGTGTGATATTCCACATGACCCTAGATGCACCTTGCAGTTGACCCCAAGTTCCACCTGGGCAGGTCATACCAAGGTCACTTGGAAGACTGACAGAAACCATCTCAAAGATAGGGAGATAGTGTGGGAGTTGCAAATGGACCATCATCACCTCCATAATTAGAAAGAATGGGCAATAATTGCCTAGATGTCTCACCTGATGGGCCAGCTAACGACTTAATCCTTTCCCATTCACTTTGAATATTGCCAGATCAGATTACCCCACCCATACAATCTCACATCTTTGTTCTGCAGCTAGTTTTAGCCCTTAAAAAACCCTGGATTTCCCCCCTTAGTGTTGATAGTTGGAGTTCATGGTGACACTACGTCACTGTGTTCTCTAGTCTAGTTACTGGCACTTCCGTTCCAACCAACGCACTTGGAACAGCTGTGTCCCACACCACTTCACCCCATTGGAAGCCTCATCTGTAGTAAGTATTACCCATAGTTTTGCCTCAAGATCTTTCCCAAGCTAACCCCTGATTTCCTGAGTCTTGAATGAATGAATGTATGAGTGTGAATTACTGTGTGATTTTCCCTTTAATAAAATAATACTTTAATTGGAGAATTCTGTCTCTGCATCAATTCTTACATCCACCAGCCTCTTGGTATACAAGTGGGAGAGTCTCACAGGGTCTTTGTAGCCAACCCTATCTCAGTTTGAGCTAAATAAAATTCCCCATACTAGACTTTTGGCTACAACTGTGGAATAATTCTTACAGTCAGGAAGTTCTTCCTAATGTTTAGGTGGAACCTCTTTTCTTGTAATTGGACCCCACTGGTTCATGTTCCAGTCTCTGGATCAGCAGAAACCAAGCTCACTCTATCTTTTACATGGCATCCCTTTAGATATTTAAAGGTAACTGTCATGTCACCCCTCAGTCTTCTCTTCTCCAGTCAAGTTCAAATAATGACAAAAGATCATATGAATGTCTGGAACAAGTTCCTGTTTTAGACTGCAGCTGAGATCCTAGATTGTGCTTGTGTAGTGTCAATCCATACTCATGAAGTTATATAGTGGTTGCATGACACCACCTTCCTGGTCAATACCAATGGCATGTAACCAATGATCTATCTGCAAATGTGCCTTTTTGTACAATGGGGAATACACAGTGGCTTCTTTTGCAATCCCAGTGGAGAGAGTAGAAAATTGAAGATACTAACAAATATTTATGCACCATTTAGAAACACACAACTTCATGGCTGGGATCTTTTGCATGCCTCCCAACTATAGTAGACCCATCAACTGTTGAATAAAGAGTCAACATGAAGATTGTAGAACTCTATTAACATAATCAATCAATCAATCAATTGATTGGTAATCATAAATTGAATAGGACTGTTGTGCAATGGCCAACAAAATGCAACTTTATATGTAGGGGAACATAGGGTTGTAGTGGTTCGAGTGTTGGACTGTAACTCTGCATAGCAGTGTTCGAATCCCCACTTGAACTTGGAAACCCGCTGGGTGACTTTGGGCAACTTATGCTCTCTCAGCTTCAGAGGATGGCAATGGCAAAACCCCTCTGAAGAAACTTTCCAAGAAAATCCTATGATAGGTTTGCCTTAGGGTCACCTTAAGTCGGAAACAACTTGAAGGCACACAAGAACAGGAAATGTCACAAATAGGATTCCAGCCTAGAACTCTCACAACCCTCCCCTAGCCAGGGAATTCTGGAACTTGTAGTCAAGGAAAGTAGCATGTCCGAACTAAGAAATGTTATCCTTCACCCTACATGTTTTTGGAGAGTTGTTGAAGTTCCCAGAGATAGGCTGAATTAATTTTTTGTTGGACTACTGCTCCCAGAATCCCCAGCTAGCAGTAAACCCCCCCAAACCAACTTGTTCAAACTTGGACAGCTTGTTCTTTCAGTGGCATCCTTTGCCCTTTACTGACACCATACTTTTTTTATTTTTTTATTTTTTGGAGCCTATCCCACATTTGGCAGGCCACTTCTGGGAAAGCTGGAAACTTCTTTTAATTTATATCTGTATAAGTTATACAACCCAAAGCCTGCCAGCCTTCCTAGCCGTGTGACATAGCGGCTTGCGGGTTGTTAATATTGTCTTATTACACACACATGTTTACGCGGTTACCGGGAGCGTATTATATTACTCCCAAGCTTTATAGATTTTAATTATTTTCTTTCCCCCTTATGACTCTCATGGCTTTGGAGGCACTTGGGGGGTCGATTTCTTTGCCTACCCACAGGAGAACCAAAAGGGGCATATATTTCCCTACCCCCTTCCCAAAATTTCGGGGATCTAGGGTGAATTATTTCAGACCTTTTTGGGAGACTGCCTATATTCTTCCTTGCTCTTTCTTCACTTGGCAGAGACATTGGTTTCTCCTTCTGTGGAGAAAACTGGGGCTGAATTGACTACCTCTATGCTGTTTATGCTTTCAAACAAAGGCATACCCTTCAACATTTCACAAATAAAATCCAGGAACATCAGAATGCAGTCAAGATGGCAAAAGGTGTTATTAAGGAGGAAAAACATCCAAGCTAGGGGAGGCTGCAGCAGTTTGCTTTTTCCTGAGCTGACAGGGAAGTGCCTCCTTCCTGCCTCCTTTTCTCCTCTCATCTCTCCTCCCTGCTGCTCAACTAATTCATTTGTTCCAAGGGGCCTTGCCATGGCCTTCCTCTGAGGCTGAGAGAGTGGCCCTGCCCAAGACCATCAAGGGGGCTTCCATGACCAAGCAAGGATTTGAACCCTGGTCACCCAGAGTCTCCAAATACGGGAGCATGCTGGTAAATCTACACTCAAATAATTGTGCAATTTTGTCAAGTCCAGCAGGATACCAAGTTCAGAAACTCAGGCTCATTACTAACACTCAGAAACCTGAGTTGAACCTGTTGTGGAGTTTTATTGGCAAGACTTCATCAGAGGAGGTTTGCCATTGCCTTCCTCTGAGGCTGAGAGTGTGTGACTTACTCAAGGTCACCCAGTGGGTTTACATGCCCAAGCTGGGATTTGAATCCTGGTCTTCAGAGTCATAGTCTAACACTCCAACCACTACACCAGGCTGCTCTCCCACTGCTTTAACTGCCATGGCTCAGTGTTATGGGATTCTAGGGTTTGTAGTTTTGTGAGATATTGAGCCAGACCTCCAGTGCCACAACAAAACTACAGATCCCAGGGTTCCATAGCACTGAGTCATAGCGGTTAAAGGTGGTGTCAAATTCCATTAATCCTGCAGTGCAGATGCAGCCTTGGACAGCTCCATTAAAGTTTGGATTAAAATCCAGAATGGATACCCTTCCCAACTGATAGAGAAGCCAGCAGCTGCTGCTGTCTCCCAGCAGTGATGCTCAATGAGTGACATAGGCCTCGTTCCCACTATGATTTAAAGCGAACTGCAGATTGGGTTATATGACCGTCGTTCCCACTTGAAACTGGTTCTGATCCTATTGAGCTCAGCTGCAATTGCAATGAACCAAGGCAAACGCAAAAAACCTGCTGTTGCCTGACACTAGTTCTTTGGTGTTTCCTTTAAAAAGAATTCATTCTGAAGCATGTTCAATAAATGGGAATGATGGATCTGAATCTGATCATACTGGAGGAGAGGGACTAATGCCAGAGGGGTGTTTACCATCCCAACTCAGTTTTTGGGAAATCCGCCATCCCCCCGCCAGCACTGCCTTTGTGCTTGTGTGACCTATGGGTGCATGATATATATAATACCAAATTACCGAATGTGCAATCCGTTGTTTTTGCAACAACTTGGCGGCACACCAGGCGATTGGGCTGATGGCAGCTCAGCGAGACAAGTAGTTGCAAAACCAATGGATCGAATATCCTATCAATTTTTTAAAAGAAAAAATTAGTTTCCAAGCTGGGTTGCTCAAAGGGGAAATGGTGTACTTTTGATCAGCCTGCTAAAGTCGCCCCGCTCTGGCCCCGTCCTCACCGTGTTGCCGCTTGCGTCACCGATGACGCATAGATGATTGATATGCATTTTGAAGCGGCACAAAGTAGTGGGAATGAAAATCGAGCCAAAAAAAAAGAAGCAATGACAAGGGAACAATGAAAAGATCCACTTTCATAGCGGGAACGACGGACCTTTTGGAATCGATTCACCGACACGGAGCGAAGATGAATCGCAAACCGGTTTAAATGTAAGTGAGAATGAGGCCTAATAATCAAAGGGTTTTTTTCTCTGCTTTGTTATTCTAAGAAAATGTTGGAACAAGGCAGGTTTTTGCTCTCAAATCTCAGTACGGCTTCATGCGAAGGTCAGAGGGTCAGCTGCCAGACCATGCAGCACATCAGGACATTGGCTCCTTCTGGAATAAATGTCAGCCCTATGCAATGTATACCACAGAGAACTCTTTGAAAGCACAG